GGACATACATGCACTCACAAGATGACTAAGGCTCTACATCCCTCAACACACATGCAGCAATGGATTCATACCTCCTGAGGTATCACGGCTCCACTACAGCTGAGTCAGTTCTAAGGCTGTCTTGAGGACCCAACTCATCTGCCTCTCCCATCACCAGCCTTCAGGGATGGCTGGTGCAGGTTGTCCCTGTGCCACAGGCTCAGCACAGTGTCATCATCACCCTGCAGGTTGTCTGTGCTTGGCAGAAGAAGGCTGTGGCAGGGGGAGACTGGCATGCATAGAGCTGTTCTTTCGTTGTAGACGTGGGAGCTAAACCTTCTCAACCATAGCTATTACAACACTTCTGCACTCTCATAATCAAAGGACCTTCACTTGGCCTTATCATTTTTCAAGTGAAGGAAAGCCCAAACTAGACGGTGTCTGCAGCCTCATAAGCCAAAAGACAGGCTGGAATGGGAGCTGGTGCATGAATCCACCTTCAGAGACAATCCTTTCTCCCTTCCCTCTGCCATTTCCATCCTCTAGTTAAAGAGATTTGAGCACAGAGGAGATACATAACTGCATGCAAAGCTCTGCTCACCAGTTCACCCATTCACAGTTCCTAAAAATGGTCAACATTTCCATTTACTCTGGAGAAGTCTGCGCTATCTTGCAAAGTGATGAAGGAATCTGCGCTATCTTTAACTCAGCAAAGGTGGGGAACCTTGTCTATATACCATGTCTTTGGGATATTTCCTCAGAAATATATAACATCCAGCGTACGGTGTGTCCAAGCAGAGAAGCTCCTGGGCTAATACATTGGGATGATTTGTGAGTTAGAGGACATAGAGTTGCCGAAACAACAGTTTCAGCTCTCCAAGCAGTTGCTGATGGCTGTCAGCCCCACCAGTACATAGAATCATGGAATCATAGAATGGTTAGGGTTGGAAGGGACCTCAAAGATCATCTAGTTCCAATCCCCCTCCCATGGGCAGGGACACCCTCCACTACACCAGGCTGTCCAAAGCCTCATCCAACCTGGCCTTGAACATTGAACCATTGAACAGGGGAACGACGACTTGTGGTCTTCTCTTGCTAACGTCCAAGGGTAATTAGGTGGCCCTGTAATTGCTAATCAAGCATTCATCCTGCAGGATAGCTTGAAGGAAAATCTTTCTAGCTGGAACCTAGAGCTGGAATTGCAAAGGATCTCTGTCTTGGTGAGTTAAGTCCTGGACGCAGTTGCAGCAGGAGACAGAGGCTGGGCAATACACCAGATGGGAAAGCTTCACTTGCCTCTGCCCTTCTCTATTTCCGCCCCACGAGGTACATTTCATTTGTTTTCAGGGTGTTTTCCACCTTCCACACAGGAATG